CTTTACATGCTGCTGTCCAGTTTTCCCAACACCATTGGCTGAAGAGACTGTCTTTATTCCATTGTATTTTCTTGCCTCCTTTGTTGAAGGTTAGTTGACCAAAAGTTTGTGGGTTCATTTCTGGGCTCTCTATTCTATTCCATTGGTCCATATGTCTGTTTTTGTACCAGTACTATGCTGTCTTGATAACTATAGCTCTATAGTATTGTCTGAAGTCTGGGAGAGTTATTCCTCCAGCCTCTTTCTTTTTCTTCAGTAATACTGTGGCAATTCTATGTCTTTTGTGGTTTCAAGTTTTGATCAGTGTACACAGAATTTTAAAAATTTATAAAATATTTCATATGTGAAAGGATGTGTGATGTTTACACTGAGAATTCTTTTTTAACCCTGTATTTTTTTCACCTCTCTTAGTAAATATAGGATTGTCCTTATATCTGAAATTCTGTGTATGTTGAATAATAGCATGCTGCTCCCAATAGCATTCCCCTCTTCTTCAAGGAGTAACTACTACAATTGATTTTGTCGTTTGCTCTCTTGTTTATAACACAGACTGCATGTTGTTTAGTTTTGTATGTTTCTGAAGTTAATACGCATTGTGTTGTATGAATTTTTCAGTAATCTGCTTGTTTCTTTATATGACTTTGAGATTCATCCATGTTGATATATGTAAAGCTATAGCTCATTTATAGTTATCTCTTTTGTATAGTTAGTATTTCCTTATATGAAATTCTACAATTTAATTATCTGTCCTATTGACAGATATTTAGATTATTTCCAGTTTTTGCCAATGTAGATCATGCTGCTGTGGATAGTCTTGTATATCTCATAGGTGCATGCCTGCTCACGCACGCGCGCGCACACACACACACACACATTCTCACCTCACTCAGAAGTGGAATTAGTGGATAGCAGGTTCAGTTTTACAGGATACATCAAATTGATTCCAAAATGGTTGTACCATGTTGTACCAGCAGCATCTAAGGGATGCTATTTATCTACATCCTTTCCATCACTTAACATTGTGTGATTTATAAATTTCTCTCAATCTGTATAGATATAAAATAATATCCCATTGTGGTTGTAATTTGCATTCCTCTGATTATTAGGGAGGTTGAACCCCCTTTCAGTAGGAGTTATTTATATGTTTCAAATGCCAGACCTTTGTCAGTTATTTGTGTTACATATATTTGCACCTTGTTTGTGACTTTCCCCCCCTTTTTTACTGTTTGCTGTTCGGTTTTGGCTTTTTCAAAAGACTTTAATTTTAATGTCATTTATCACTCAAAGTTTGCCTGTAATATCATAATAATAATCCATTTTACTTTATCTTTTTTTTAAATTGAAGTACAGTCAATTACAGTGTGTCAATCTCTGGTGTACAGCACAGTGTCCCAGTCATGCATATACATATATTCATTTTCATATTTTTTCCATTAAAGATTATTATAAGATACTGAACATAGTTCCCTGTGCTATACAAAAAAACTTTTTTTAAGAAATCTATTTTTATATATAGTGGCTAACATTTGTAAATCTCAAACTCCCAGATTTATCCCCTCCCACCCCCTTTCCTTGGTAACCATAAGACTGTTTACTATGTCTGCAAGTCTGATTCTGTTTTGTAGATGAGTTCATAGTGTCCTTTTTTTTTTAAGATTCCACATATGAGTGGATGTATGGTATTTTTCTTTCTCTTTCTGGCTTACTTCACTTAGAATGATGGTCTCGGTCCATTCAGGTTGATGCAAATGTCATTATTTTATTCTTTTTTATGGCAGAGTAGTATTCCATTGTATACCACAGCTTCTTTATCCAGTCATCTGTCTATGGACATTAGGTTACTTGTATGTCTTGGCTATTGTATATAGTGCTGCTGTGAGCATTGGGGTGCATGTATCTTTTTGTGTTAGAGTTCCCTCCAGATACATGGGGTTCCCTCCAGAAGTGAGATTGGTGGATCATATGGTAAGGATTGTTAGTTTTTTGAGGAATTTCCATACTGTTTTCCATAATGGCTGCACCAAACTACATTCCCACCAGCAGTGTAGGAGGGTTGCCTTTTCTCCACATCCTCTCCAGCATTTATCTTTTGTGGACTTTTGAATGGTGACCATTCTGACTGGGGTGAGGTGATACTTCATTGTAGTTTTGATTTGCATTTCCCTGATGATTAGCGATACTGAGCATTTTTTCATGTGCCTATTTGCCATTCATATGTCTTGGAGAATTGCTTGTTTAGGCCTTCTGCTCATTTTTGGATTGGGATTTTTTTTGGGTTTTTTTTTCTTTAATTAAGATGTATGAGCTGTTTATATATTCTGGAAATTAAGCCCTTGTCAGTTGCATCATTTGCAGATGTTTTCTCCCATTCCGTAGGTTGTTTCTTTGGTTTGTTTATGGTTTCCTTTGCTGTGCAAAAGCTTATAAGTTTAATTAGATCCATTTGTTTATTTTTGCTTTTATTTCTGTTGCCTTGGTAGACTAACCTAGGAGAATATTGCTAAGATTAATGTCACAAAATGTTTTGCCTACATTTTCTTCCAGATTTATGGTGTCCTGTCTTATGTTGAAGCCTTTAAGCCGTTTTGAGTTTATTTTGTGTATGGTGTGAGGGAGTATTCTAACTTTATTGATTCACATGCAGCTGTCCAGTTTTCCCAGCACAACTTGCTGAAGAGAGACTCATTTTACTTTGTCTTAAAGTTATGCTGTTCAGTTTTTTGTATATATATTTTTATTGAAGTATAGTCAGTTTGCAATATTGTGTCAATTTCTGGTGTACAGCATAATGCTTTGGTCATACATGAACATACCTGTATTTGTTTTCATATTCTTTTTCACTGTAAGTTACTACAAGATATTGAATATAGTTCCCTGTGCTATACAGTGTAAACTTGCTGTTTATGCTGTTCAATTTTAATTCTTTTTTTTAACATTTTTTTTATTGAGTTATAGTCATTTTACAATGTTGTGTCAAATTCCAGTGTAGAGCACAATTTTTCAGTTATACATGAACATACATACATTCATTGTCACATTCTCTTTCTCTGTGAGCCACCACAAGATCCTGTATATATTTCCCTGTACTACACAGTACAATCTTGTTTATCTATTCTAAGAAGCTTCTAAAATGTCTTACTTTTCTCAGCTGTAATATATGGGATTTGAGTCCCAAAGTGGCTCCTGATCTTGTTTTTTGTTTTTTGTTTTTATTTTTGTTTTTTTGCAGGGGGATGTAGTTAGGTTTACTTATTTATTTTT